CTCTTGGGAGCCTCTTGGGGGCCTCTTGGGAGCCTCTTGGGGGGCTCTTCGGGCTCGCTGGATTCCTGAGGACCTCTTGTGGGCCTCTTGGGGCCTCTTGGAGATCTCTTGGGGCCTCCTGGGAGCCTCTCGGGGCCGACGGCTCGAAATGTCCGTTCGGGTCCCCCGTCTGGGCACTCTCTTGGAGCCGTCTTGGGGGCCTCTTGGGCCGTCTTGGAGGCGTTTTGGGTTGTCGTGGGGTCTTCTTGGGCTGTCTTGGGGCTCTCTCGGAGGCTTCTCGGGCCGTCTTGGGGCGATCTTGGGGGCCTCTTGGGCCGTTTTGGAGCGGCGGGAAGCGGAAAAGACGAGAACGCCCAAATAAAACAAACCAGAGGGACATCAATTCGTTTTGCCCCTTGGGGCCCTCTCGGGAGTGCTCTGGGAGGCTTCGTGGGGCGTCTTGGAGGCCTCCTGGGCAGTCTAGAGGGCGTGAAGGCGGTTTGGACCGATCGTCTAGCGATTGGGGGCCCTCTTGTACCGTCTCGGGGGCCTCTTGGGGCACTCTTGGCCTGTCTTGGTACTTTCTGAGGCCCTGGGAGCCCCAGGGGGGGATGCGTTTCTGACTCTCTCCCCGGGTCCCCCCCCCGGGACCCCCCCGACGGGGGAGGGATCAAATGGAAGGGGCTTCCCTTCGACTCGTTCTCGACATTGCTAGACTCTTCTCTCTATCGCCGACGGGCTTGCGGAGAAGGGGTTTCCAAGGGGACGACGGAGACGACGACCGACGGAGACGACGACTCGAAGAGATCAGCCCCTCACACGCGCGCCGACAGGCGTGGTCGGCGGATTTCGGGGCACGGAGGCCCCGCGGTCCGGCCCCGGGACCATCTGACCCCCGGGGAGGCGGCTGGGACCTCTGAGGGCCGCCGGAAGACGGCCTGCGGCGGCAAAGTCAGTCCCGGGAGGAGGAGGAGGAGGAAGAGGAGGAGGAGGAGGAGGAGGAGGAGGAGGAGGAGGAGGAGGAGGAGGAGGAGGAGGAGGAGGAGGAGGAGGGGGAGGAGGACGTTCATCTTCTGTCTTTCCTGTTGGACGCCCTGACTAGACGCCATAGGGACTGCACAGCTGCTACGCGGCGTGACCCCGCCAGCCAGCCGTTGTTTTTCTGTGCGACTGTGGCACACTCGGACCAGTGCCAGCCCCAAAACACTCCTCCGCCCTCTCCTCCCCTTGACATCTCCCCTCTGCGAAAAAAAGAAGCACGACGGAAGGTTTTGCCGTTCTCGGCCCCAGGGGGCCTTCGCTGGGCCCGGAGCCCCTCAACACAATTGGGCGGGATGAAAGTCCAGCCCCGGGGAAGGGATCCAGGCCACTCCTCCTGCTCCTCCTGCTCCTCCTCCTCCTCCTCCTCCTCGCCCTCGAGCCACGCTGCGAAAAAAGCACGACGTCGGATGTCCAGGTCCCTCTCCTCGCTGCTCGAGGGCCCGTGCCCCTGGGTTGCCCGACGCCTGTCGGAGGCGGGTCCCGGCACGAGGCAGAGACGGGGTCGGCGAAGACCGCCGCGTGCCCAAGATCGGGAGCGGAAAAGAGGGGGGTGATGACTAGGGGGGGGTGGATTTCATGGCGCGGGCCATGATATCTCCGCAGA